CCCCCCCCCCCTTTTGATGTTCTTATGGGTGTGCTAGTGTTTTGTTTTGTTGGTGGTATGGCAACCATTTTATTTTTAATCTTTGATTACTTGATTGGAATATTGTACAAATTATAGATTCTGTGACACGCATTTCTTTCTTTCTCTTTTTTTTTTTTTTTTTTAAGTATTCTGTGACATGCATTTCAAATTTCTTTTTCCTTTTATATAGTGGGTTAAAGAATTGAAAGTATATAAAGCATATGAGGTTACAGCTAGACGGCTTTTAAATAGGAAGCTGAGCAGAACTTTAGACGTCACATGTTTAGTAAGCGACTTCTATAAGTCTTTTTAAATGCACTCTAAATAGGAAGCTGAGCAGAACTTTAGACGTCGCATGTTTAGTAAGCGACTTCTATAAGTCTTTTTAAATGCACTCTGTTTTTAGATGTCACCCGACAAGCAACGCCTAAAAGGAGGTTTAGATCTCGTCCAAAACAGCAACGTCTAAAGTGGTACTTTTCCGGGCGACGTCGAAGACCTTTTGTGTAGCATAGTTTAAATAGAAATTTAGATTTGTTTACATTCTTATGGGGTTATCTGTTACAAAAAAGGTTTGAATGAAATCGTTTTTAATCAAACTTATGAAATAAAGAAAGGCTTCCTATCCGTTATGAATAAATTTTGTTTTTTCCTCTTTCTTTTGAAACCATGTTAAGTTTCCTTTCAATGTGTATATTTGTTTTTTACTGGTTCAAATATATAACAAATATTTGTTTGTTGTTCAGTTAATAATTGATTTGTATTCTAAAGAGAAATATTAGCCAATGTGGAGTAAGAGCTTGACTCGGTTTAGTTGTACAATCATCTAGAGAGAGCTCATGATTTATTTGCAAAGAGAGCTCGAAATTAGGTGAAGTTATGCTTTCTTACGAGGATATTCTCAATAAAGAATATAAAGAGTTCTTTTTAGGAAATCAATCCATGAGCTGAAGAAATAACAAGAACGTTTGGAACAGGTATTCATCTAAAAAACTATAATCTAATAAAATTATTTGAATCATAGTCGTACTTATTTACCACGAAAAAGAGCTTAAAATTCAACAGATCAATGATGCAATGGATTTGTGATGAAAGGATGAGTCTGAGGATCCTTAGCTTTCAAATTTTTAACTTCACTAAATCCAACAAAAATCACGTGTCAACAATAATTCAACCAAAATCATAGAATTAATGTAGCATATGAAGTTGAAATATTCATTTTTCTCCAAATGTATTTGCAATAAGAAAAAGAAGAATAATTTAATGGGCATAATTTGTGACAAAAAATAATACTACGATGACGAAACTATAAAAACACTATTCGTACATATATTATTGTTATTTGTTTTTTAGTTTCCTTCATCAGTTTTCTCTCACTCATTCTGCGTTCTTCTCTCTCAACCTTCTTCTTTCTCATCTCCTTCTCTTGATTTTGATGGGCAGACACTTCGGCTTTGTTCAATTTGTTGATTCGAGTTTTCAATTTAAATTGAGATGTAATTTTATGCGAATTTTTAAAAAAATTAGATGTGACTTTTTGTAAGAGTTTTTTAACTGTAATAAAATTGAAATTGAAAACTCAAATCGGTAAAATGAAAAGCCTTCCATTTTATCCTTTTCTGAACTTTTTTTGCTTTCTTTTCTCTTTGTTCTGTTCTCCTCCCTTGCGCCTTTTCTTCTTGCTCTTCATCTCATCATTTTCTTCTACCTCTCTCTCTCTCTCTCTGCATTTGGACGGAGAATCAGAGTGTTAATTTGGGCTTGTAAGACGTGGTTGTGGAGTTTGTGGTGTGAGGATGAGATCTTTGCCCTAAAGAAAAAAAGTAGAACTTTCTCCCTCTAGGGCTTTGGATCAGTTCAGGTTTTATCTTTTTTTTTTTTTTTTCCTTAATCTCATTTCTCTTGCGCCGTTCCTCTGCCCAGCCCTAGGATCTCTTCTTTCAGTTTTTTTTTTCTTCATCTTTTTTCTCTTTTCACCATGCAGTTTTTGTTTTTCCATTCCAGGGAGATATTCATCAGAAACCCAGGAGTGGTGGGTTTTTTTGTTTGCTTGCTCTCAATGTTGCTTGACTGTCTGGATTACTATGGGATTCATGGTGTTGGAGACTACATTGTCATAATAGGTGACAAAACCTGTTACTTTATCCTTTTTTCCACTTCTGTTTGTTTTTTTCCTGGTACAGCTTTTTGGATGGAGAGAGAGTAAAAATCGGATGATATGCTCACTCCTTGAGAATCATAGCAAACTTATTTTGTGCTCAAAATTTCTGATTTTGCTTCTTCTCAATCCGTTCGTACCATTTTATATGGTAATTATAAATCTCTCTCCAGATAGATATAAGTTTGATCGTGTTCTTAGTCTCAAATGAACCATGGATCATAGTCTGGAATCTCCCAATTTGTTACTGCTGTTGGTTTTTTTTTTTTTTCCCATAATCAAGTTTTGTTCTTTGGAGGTCCATTTACAAGTCGATTATTTTGGTTTTGGAAACTAAGAACACAAAACTGGAATTGGGTTATTGGGAATTCAAAATCAAGCGTGATTTTTCATTTTTAATCTGTTGTTTGTTCTTAGTGTTGTTTTCACAAATTCTTCTATGTACACTTTTAATAAGATGTGTTCAATAATGTTAGGAACCTAATATTTAGAAGTCTTTTTCAATAGTCTTAAGGAGAGTATAAATAGGGGGTTTAGTTGCTAGGGAGGGTAGGATGAGATTTGTGGAGAATTTCTAGTGTTTCGGCTATTAGCTTGGGAGGTTGTGGGGTTCCTCGAAAATCCCTCTCTATCTTTATTTTCCTGTATTTTCCATTCTTGCCGATTGTGAGCTTCGTTGAGCTCACTGATGTTAGTAAATTGAGTGATATTCAATAAAGAAACTATTAGTTGGATCCCATTCAAATACTTGCTGGTTTTTCATTTCTTTTGAGTTCAGGATCCTAACAATGGTATCAGAGCATCTACGATCCACGGAGCTCTTTGAGTTGAGAGAGAAACTTAGGGTTGCTTTAAGAGCTAATCACAAGGTTTTTGGAGGGAGTATGGGGGAACTCCGGGACCATGTGGGGAAGATTCGGACCTAGATGGGTGACTTGCAGGTGGCGCTGCGGAGGATGGAGGCACTGTTGGCAGCGTGGCCGATGGCCGGGGAGGCCAAGTTGGGTCGCGACGGCGAACGACGGGACGGGGAGAGGCGAGATCGCGCGCCTCGGGGCGAGGAGAGCCCAGATCGCGTTGATCCAGGCGGAGTGGAGGTGCCAAATCGGGCGGATCTTCGCCAGGAAGCGCCGATTCGCGAAGATCAAGGCCGCGAGAGGGAGTTCTGACGCCGGCGAGACGTGGGTCTCATGGAGGAGCGCGAGATCCGTCGCGATCTGGGGCTGGGTGGTCCGGATCTGTAACGGTAGGGTTTGTTCGACGACGGGAGGAGGGCAGGAGGTCGCGACCGTTGGGAGAGGGCGGCGGAGCTTGGTCGGCGACGGGAAGTGGAGTGGGAGCCAGAGTTAGAGGAGGAGAAGCTTGCTCCGAGGCTGGGACGGCATGGGCACCCTCGGAATAGGGAACCCATCCCTGATTTGGTCGCGGTTGGGGCTTATTCCGGCCCGGTTTGGACCGGGCCTCGCGATTCCGGGGTGGAAGGGGCTGGTTCCGGTGCTACGGAGACAGATTCCGGCGCGACGGAGGCTGGGCTCGACGATTTGGCTGCAGTTTGGATAGGGCCTCACAATTCCGGCGAGAAAGGGGTTGATTCCGGTGCTGCGGAGGCAGCTTCCGGCGGGATTGTAGTGGAGTCCCGCAATTCCAACTCCATTAAGGCTGATCCCGGTGATATTGGTGTTGTTTTCAGAAATTCCGGCCAAATTTGGAGCGGGTCTCATGATTATGATGCTGTGGAGGTTGTTTCCGGTGAGGTTGGGGCATATTCCAGCATAGGTAAGGCATGGTTCTGGAATTCCGGAACTATTGGGGCCACCGTTAGCGATTTGGGGGCTGTGTTCCCAAAAGTGTGGACTGGGTCTCGTGATTCAGGAGTGAACTGGGTTGATTTTGGCATGGTTAGGGTTGGACCTCGTAATTACAATAATATTGGGCCTAGTTCTGGTGCAATGGTGGTTGGGCCTCAAAATTCCAACACATTTAGGACTGGGTATAATAAGTTTGTAGCTAGGTATGAAGCAATTGGTGACAGAGAGGTTCAAAGGACGAAGACCTGGTTAGCTGAGAAGGAAACTTCTTTGTTAATAATGGGTTTGTCAAAAGCTTTTTATGGTCATTGATAAGCTTGATCAGGGGGCTCCAACTGAATTGGTGGACTTTGTAGCTGCTTTCCAAGATACAAAGAAGTTGAAGAAGAAAGTAATTGATTTGGCTCCAATTTGAAGACGTGTCTTACAAGGACAACATCAATTTGGGGACTCAAATTGAGGAACTAACAAAGCCTTTTGTTCTCAATCATTTAGATGTTATTTTTCAATTTTATTTCTTGATTTTCACCTTGAGGACAAGGTGATTCTTTGGGGCGGGAGTAATATTAGGAACCTAATATTTAGAAGTCTTTTTCAATAGTCTTAAGGAGAGTATAAATAGGGGGTTTAGTTGCTAGGGAGGGGAGGATGAGATTTGTGGAAAATTTTTGGTGTTTTGGCTGTTAGCCTGGGAGGTTGAGGGGTTCCTCGAAAATCCCTCTCTATCTTTATTTTCCTGTATTTTCCATTCTTGCCGATTGTGAGCTTCGTTGAGCTCACTAATGTTAATAAATTGAGTGATATTCAATAAAGAAACTATTAGTTGGATCCCTTCAAATACTTGCTGATTTTTCATTTCTTTTGAGTTCAGGATCATAACAAATAATTACCAGTACAGCATAGTACATACGGCATTACCTTTGTGAAGATCGAGTTTAGAAAAGTGGAATTACATATTCCAGCTTTATTTAGACCTTATGTTTGTTTTTTTGTTTTTGTTTTTTTTGCAAAAGGGGGCAAATTTGCTTTAAAGGCTTGGTTGGGTAAATTGGGTAAATGATGAAAGGCATAAAAGTTCACATGATTGATAATATTTGGTTGAGAAGTTTCCATGTGGATGCAATGGACGATTTGATGGCACTGTTCCACTTAGAATATTTTGTCCATCACGGGCGTTATAAACTTGCAGAGAGTTCGCTTTAGCAAAAAGAGTACAACTCAAAATCATTCTTGTTATCATTAAAGTTGGACTTGATTACTGGATTTTTTTTTTGTATTTTTTATATTTTTTTAGCATGTCTTGATTGAGGAAATAAGCATTTTGTATGATTGTATTTAGCAATTCTATTATACTTGTTATCAATTAGTGTTTGTTGTTAGTACTGTGTGAAAAATCAGGCATCTTTAGGCTGATTATATAGCATTTATTTTGATCTCTGTAAGATTCAGGTGTTTGTATGATTAATTCTCACTGAGATACACATGTATACTTTTCCTCAGTCTGACTCTTTAATCCTCGTTTAGTTTCCTTAAATTTTGATTATCAATTCTCTGTATCTTCATTACATATCGCTTTTATTCCTCTCATTTCCTGTTTTTCTAATTCATTTACTTTGCCCTATATTCTCATCTTCTATTAGCTATCCATATAATCTCTCTTTTTGCAAGTTCATCAGTCTCTTGTTGTAAGAGTTAAATAGTCTCCTTTATTGGAAATTTCAACCGTTATTGTCATTGAAATAATTTCTCTCAAGTCTTCAAGTTTTTGTGCTGCTAAGTTTCCTCAGATTGTGCTTACTGAAATAATTTTCTATTTCACTCAAATTTTAATAATAATAAAAATAACAACAGTATCCTTTGGGAGGTTTTCTGGTTATATTTTGACTTTATCTTATCTAACACTTACGCCAAATTCAGAATTTTAACTGAGTCATGCATATGGTTATGTTAGTAAATCTTCGTTTCCATTTTAATTTGGATAATGCTTCAATTTCATTTGTCGGTTACTTTTAGTTTTCTGTCCACACTAATAGACCTCTAAGGTGCTTTGCTTATTCACAATGGTATATTTCCAAACATTAATCGAATACTGAAGTATTACTGTTTGTTAATTCACAAATCTAATATAGTCTTTTCTTGAGACTCTGTTTATATTTTTTTCTTGAACCTATCCCACTATTTTAAGCTATTAAATTAGTTTTCTTACTTAATCTCGTCGAACGCCACTATTTTTTTGGTTGAATAATTTTAAATAATAGTTGATATCTTTTTTATTATCCACTTTTGTTCTTCCACGATTTTATAAAAAGTTTTGTTTGATTTTGAATTAATACTATTTTAACACAATAAGTTTGTGTTGATTAATTGTATGTGAATTTTACTTATTACTCTTGGAGATTAGATTTGATTTACGTATTTATAATTTATTTCTTGAAGAACATTGTTAGTATCTATAAGGAAAAAAAAAATGGTGAGAAATAAAAAAACATTTTGTGAGTGCCCTCACTGAAATAAAATCCTAACTACGTCCTTGCTCATATCTATAAGAATTCAGAAGAAGAAACTATTAGAATTTGGGAAGAGATGAGAAGAAAAATAAAAAAGAAGAATTGCACTTTATAAAGTATTAGGCGTGCATCTTAAAAAATTAACTTGTTTAAGTTAGATGACGACTTAATATCTTTATATAATTGTAGTTTTTGTTTATATTTAGACTACGTAGAATTTAGTATTTTAATCCTTAACATAAACATTGCATTGTAGTCAAGTAGCAGCCCTCCCTAAGCCGCCTCATCTATCTATAGTGACAATTACAAAACCATAGCTCGAATTACGTCCAAGCCCATACTCGACATGGTGGTCTGTAATAGCATATAATGTTTGGGCCTAAATAAGCGACACTCTGCATTATATATAGATACTAACTTAGCGGTAACACTTTCTTCTTCGATGGCTTCACGCGGCTATGACTAGTCGACATTTTGCATCTCAATGCAATCTATAATGCAAGCAAGGACATCCATTTGAACCCACGATACAATGGACTAACATTGATACCAATTATAATGAACCCATCAGGCAAAACTCACCAATACAAAATCAAATGTTCAAAGGCTTATAAATCCACTAATTATCTTATAATTATTCGTATGGGAGTTTTGATATCTAACATAAACCCTTCTTCATTTGTGGCCTTACTTGCTTTTAATAGAACAAACCACTAGTAGTTCGAATCAGCTATGCTTTGGTAAGCAGATTAATGGTGACATTAAAATTTTATGTAGTGACATTAAAATTTTATGTAGTGGCATAAACAATAGAGTTGAAAAAAATAATGGTTAAAGTTGAAATTTTCTCCAGATTACTTGTCACAATGATTAGGCATTTGAAGTATCTTACCCAAGCTTAAAGAAGGAACATTATCATGCTTAATCTTTTACTTCCACGTCAACGTCAAGCCTGGTGGTTAAAAAGAATCTTAGTCCAGCTAAGTTTCGGCTAATGGCCCATAGTTGTAACAAAGAATCCATAAGCTATCCCACTAGAATTATTAGATCTATTGTGAGAGCAAATATCTTTAGCTGGAAAAAAAAAAAAAAGTGTCCCATCTTCCACGTGAAACATGTTGCTGAAAAGGAGTGATGGGCACGCTTTATTTTATCTTCTGACGGTTTTTGGATCTTATTGTGAGTAGAAACAAATATGTTTCAGAGAATTAACGATTACACTAATCATTCACGTGCTTTCTATTCACACATTAAAAAAGAGGAGGAAAATAATTGTCTTTAAACATTTACTCCAGCCTAAGCTGTAAGAGAGAAACAAATAGAAAGAATAGTGGAATGGTGCAAAAAATTTGCCCTCATTTTTACCTTATTTGATTGAGTTCTTTTAGACAGGTTCCCAGTCTTTGATAGACCATAAATCATAATATATCAGCCAATGTAAATGAAGCAGCTAAGTTGAGAAAATGGGACTGATCTACAACCTATGAAGTCAGTAATAAATAACAGCGACGATGATGTACCAAAGATTTAAGATATTCTCATCAAAACTGATGTATTTCAAATGTAATTTTAATTACATGAGAAGTCTAGAGGGGGCAGTTTGTGTTGGAGTGATTGTTGTTCATACGGCACCCAACAGCCAGAACATGACAAGGGATGAAACAGCAAGGAGGAACCATGAGATAAAAGCCAAGGCTACAGAAATTTGGAACGTGCTACATGGAAGATGAGGCGGTGAATTACAGTAACCCAAATCTTTCGAATAGAGAACGGTCACCCCAGCTGATGAGCAAGCAGCTCCAAGTGAGAGTATGGCAGTAACCTGCATTTTGTTATGACACAAAAATCACTCAAAAAGGAAAGAACAGAGAGAAAAGGCGCAAAAGAATTATGTGCGGAACAGAATGGAAACAATTTCCGAGCATAGTCTCAGGAACAGAATGATGTTTCTATTTTCTATTGTGTGTTTGATTGGATTTATATGCATGCATACAAATAATAAGTTACTAAATTGAAGAACTTACCCAGTCACCAACAACGAAGAGGCTCACTAGAACAGGATTATGCAAACTTCTCTTTGATCTCAAAGCATGCAAATCAAGGCAAGCAAGTCCAAAGCTCCAAAGAACTTGAAGCCCCATTGATGCAATTAAATAGCTGTATCAGCAAATCAAGTTACATAAGCACCAAATCTTTGTAACAGATATATTTGTATAACCATCTAAAGCTAAAACATAACAATTAACAAAAGAAAAATAATCTAAAGCGTAGCACAAGAAATAGAAACCACTATATTAGCATATTAGAACACAAAGCATTCACCAATGTGCACATATATGAAAACGTGCTACTATACAGGTGACTTCTAGTACAAATCTCTCAAGTTTCTTCCCGACGTACTAAGAAATTAAGGAAATTTCTATCTCATTAAAGCATATAGCAATGAAAGAGTTTTAATGATGCCCTAACCTAACACATCAGGTAAAATTATAAAGTTACAAGAGAAGTAGTTCACACTTATCAGGAGAATTGACAAAATAGTGACCCAATGCAAATATGTTTTTGAAGGACTAACAGTGATATCTAGTCTAGGTATGCTAAATGGGGACTTACGCGATATCATTTCTACCTGAAGAACACAAGGTCAGAAGATCTTTATTTCTGTATGCCACAAGTGAAATAAAGCGACTTATTTGGATGATGGGGGTTCATACTAAACGATTTCACCTTTTCCGTCATACAGAAAGATGTTTTTTTAATTTTCGCAACTCAAAAAGGTGGACCAATCTATTGAAACTCGTCTCTCGAGTAGAATGCATAAGTTTAGATACACAGCAGCAAATAAGGATAATCAAAATGGATTCAAGAACAAGGGTTTCAAGTATGAGTTGGTAAAGAAGTACACAAGGGAAAACATTCTGCATTTTTGCCACTTTCAAGTTAAATGTGAGGTTGGAGCCATTACTCCACATTTTGACAAGGTAAAGAATTTGAAGCTTATAGAAATCTTATATGTCCACTATCCCAATTAAGCATGCCATCTAAAATTAAGTAAATACACTCATTGGCACCTGCTGGAATAGATAAGCATTAAATGACCAGTAACAAATCAGACCCGGATAATTCATAATACTTGGTCTAGTTTACGTAACAAGAGAATGCAACTATAAATCACTTAAGTTTACCTTCCATCTTCTTTTTTTATGTAGACTCGAAAGAAACTTTCTCAGAGTCAAATTTTAGTCAACAGTCTAACAATATAAATGATGCAATACTTACCATTACTTGAAATTGTTAGTGAGATCAATATCGAATTCCAAAAACATAGTAAAACACCCTGCCAGATTAAGATGGTCTTCTATCATTCAATCAAGTGATCTTTCATTAGAAACAATGTGCCCCTAAATACATTTTGAAAACCAAGCACAATAGTTCATCTCGATGAAGTAGAAGAATATCTTGTGGTGTAGAATATAGGTATGTGTATTGACCTTAACATTGACCACTAGTTTTAAAAAATCATGAAAAGAAAGCAGGAAACGTGATATGGAGCTATTATGTTATGTCAACACAAAATTCACAACTAGGTTATATTTTAATAAGGAAGCTTAGGAAGTGGAAAGCTTCATGTGCATTGCCTCTCCATTTATCGCAGCGCTTGAGTATTTTTGTAACATACTTGAAACCAAAAACAGTTTGGCTCCTTTATCCGAATCCCCAATCCTCTTCTAGTAGCTAACATTGCCTCAGAAATTTGAAGCACATCAATTCATAACCAAAAATTACCCATGTGATAGCGACTAAACGCCATCAAATAAAGCTGGATTAAAAAAAAATCGCAAATGCAACTTAGAAGAACAAGCCTAACAAACAGGATACCATTTCACAACTGAAAATTTAATTTCCTTGATGATTATACCGTTAGTTTAATGCAAGCAAAAGCCAACCAACAGCAGAAAATAATCCTAAAATAAAACAAAAATCCCCCCCCCAAAAAAAAAAAAAAAGAAGAAGAAAGAGAGACAACTTGGAAGAAATGCCTAAAAATAAAGAAGAACATCAGCTAACAGTTAAAAATAAAAAATGCCCAGATGAGTTTCACAGCAAGAAAATGTCACCCAACAAGAAAAAAAAAAAAAAGAAATTCGAAGCGAAAAACCCAAAATGCAAAAGAGAAGATCAATTGCAGATAAAAAAGAAAAAAAAGAAAAAAGTACCAGAAGGCAGTGGAGTTGAAGAAGCCAGGAGCAGAAATCATGGTCCCAATGGAAGCAGCGGCGAAAGAGCACTGCCCTATTCTCAGTGCCAACCCACTCACCTTCCCTGGGCTTCCAAACATCTCCTTCATCGATCTATTCTTCTCTCTCTCTCTCTCTCTCTCTCTCTCTCTCTCTCTCTCTCTCTCTCGCTTTCACAAACCTTCTTCCATGGAAGTTTTGATTTCCATTATCACTGCAACTGCCTCAAGAGATTGCAGAACCCAACTTCAGATGTTGAAATATGGGATTCTTTATGATTCGGACAAGCTGATGCTGAACATTAATGGTGGAAAGATCTTTGACTCGGAAGAAGAAAAAAAAAGGGAGAATGTTCTCATTCACCTCTTTGTAACGTCACACAGGAATCTTTAATTAATAAATTCTTATAATATATACTCTCCAAATATATCTTTTTTAATTTAGTTTGTTATTCTTTCTCACTTCTCATACAATTTTTCATTAGTATTATATATATTTTTCTTTTTTATCATGTGTGGAATTTATAACCGTATTAAATACTTTGGATGATGATAATTATGTGATAAGATAAGAAAAATATTCTATGGATATATTGCACAATTTAAAGAGTTTTTTTTTATTTTATAAAATTTCAATTTAATATATTGTGCATTTTAATTTAATACCATAAGCTTTGTACAATATATATCTAAAAAATCACCTTTATTAAAAATAAAATATCTTAAAAATTATAATATTTCCAAGTGTTTTTGTGAGCGTTCAGTGTTTTGTAGGAATAAATAAACAATGATTTGGAGGGAAATAGTTTTGTTTTTATGTTTTTTTTTCTTTTTTGAAAAAGAATTCTTCTAGTGGAAAATTTACTTGTGTCAAATTGTCATTTCCTAAATAAAAAAAAAAAAATATATATATATATATATACACACACACACATATTGGTCTACCTACTGTCGTTTGTATCTGAAACGACGGAGTTTGAGCGTATTAGGGATACTCTCTAATTGAAGAAGCCCTAGACATTCGGTGTTCTTGTCCCCCTTAAACCCTGAACCCCAAAACCCTCCTCTCCTCTCGACTCCTCTGTTCTCTCAACTCAGAAAAATGGCTGCTTTCTCTTCCATCATTCGCAAATCGAACTCGTCCTTGGCTCCACTAGCTTTTCGCGTGGTTCGGGGCCAAAAGACAAATTACTCTTCTTTCGCTTTCGCCGCCATAAAAAACCAAGCCAGTATCTCCCACAACAGGCGCTCTCTCGTTTCTCTGCTTCCGACTTTCCGCTTCTACTCTTCCGAGTCGAAGAAGCCCAGCTCCGACGAATCTCTTCTCCGAGTCATCGAGTCGGAGATCCAGTGCGCCGTTGAAACCGACGAGCACGAGCGGGTCAGATTTCTCATTATTCTCTCTCTCTCTCTCTCTCTCTCTCTCTCTCTCTCTCGTCGTTTTGGATTTTAGAAGATGCGACATAAGTAAGTTTTGAAAGATTTGAGTTCATCATTGTCATTTCTGTCTAGAATAAACTGAGTTGGATAATTTTGTTTTTGTTCAATGTATTTTTACTTGTTCAAGACAATGGCCCGTTTGGTTTATGAGTTTGAATAAAAAAAATTGAACGGAAATTCTAATTATAGTGAGGGAAACCGGGAAACCACTGTAGCAAAAAGGTTTGAATCGTGGTTCGAACAAACTGCACCTAGAGAGCACTCCAAACAATTTATAGTTTAAATTTGACTTGTTCCTTCGGTGTTTGAATTACAAGCTATACGGAATTTAAACTAAGGATTCTAATCATGGGGTTTTTTTTTATATTAATTATTTTTCAATAATTCATACTCTTCCTTGGTATTGAAGTTTGTTTACTAATAATTCTTTTGGATGGTACGAAAAACGGATGGCTAAATTTAATAGCTTGAGATAAGGATGCTATTAGAAACGACAACGAGTTGTTGTCTTGTTGTTACTGTATTTTTGTGTGAGAAATATACTTTGAAATATCAATAAACTATTAAAGTATATATTTTGTGTTTAAGAAGTTTGGTGTTCAATGTTGTGTTGCTCTAGCAAAGATCAGAGTTGTGGCTATTTTCTGATAGGTGGAAGAAGTTCCAAATGGTTTCCCTTTTGAAATCCAAGATAATCCTGGAGTTCAGACCGTAACCCTGACAAGAACATATCAAGGTGAAGACATACAAGTTGAAGTTCATATGCCTGATCTAGTTAGTGGCGAGACAAACGAAGATCACGATGAAGATGAGCATATCGAGCAAGCTACACAGTCTAGCATCCCGCTACTTGTCAATGTCTCTAAGAAGGGTGGACCGTCCTTGGAGTTTACCTGCACTGCCTACCCGGATGAAATTGTAATCGACAGCCTAGCAGTCAAACATCCAGAAAACGAAGACGAGCTTGCCTACTCGGGGCCTGACTTCCAGTAAGCCTTTACTGTTATCAGCATCATTTGTTTAGTGTAAATTCAATATTGTGATGGCCTACTATTTTTTCTAATTTATGTGAATGTGTTCTGTGTTTATTTTCCAGTGATTTGGATGAGAATCTGCAGAAGTCTTTCCACAAGTACTTGGAGATCAGAGGTATCAAGCCAAGCACAACGAATTTCTTGCACGAGTACATGATCAACAAAGACAGTAAAGAGTACTTGCTGTGGCTAAAGAAAGTTAAGAATTTCATCGAAGCATGAAATTTTTCCTAATTTTTTGGCGGAAGAAATAAGTAAAGTAGTTGTTAATTCAAAAGTAATGATGAGATATTCAAATTGTTACTTTTTTGAATATTTTAGATTTTATAAGTGGATGCTTAGTTGAAATGTTAGAAGATTGTGGTTTTTTTGTATGCAAGCTTCAATTGAGGCTTTTTACTGAACGCAACAGGCCAAAAGTTCTTTTCTCGCCATTGTGTGTATCTGTGGATTCTGTGGAATTTGATGGTGACCAATTTTGAAGATGGTCAAAGGGTCTTGCACAGTTATCAGTATTTTTTTTATTTTTTTTATTTCTTTAGCTTTTTTCTTTGTTGATAGCCTAGAGTCTTGATTCACTGCAATGACCATATGGTATCTCAATAAAACTCGATATAAAAGCTCTCTTAACATCATTCGACTTACCAGGGTTTCTCAAGTTTTGCTTCTGCTATGAAAGACCCTTTTTTGAATGAAAAAGAGGATTATTGTATTTATCCAATTTTTTATCCATACGAGTTTTGGCAAGCGTTAAAGCTTATGCCTTGGATACGTTGCCGCAAACCATTCAAGCAAACCAAGTAGGGTAAGAATTGGAGAAGTTGACTGCCTCAAGTAGTTACTTATATTTGACCATTTCCTAAAACCACCAACCGGTTGATGAGAAGACAGTTTACTTCAAAGTTCAACTTTGTCCACTTAAATCGGGGTGACACAAGCAACCGTTTATATCTGCTGTAATAATTATTTAATTTGTTTGATCAACAATTTTTTCTCATATAAATGGAATTAAATTAGTCCAGCAAGTCACTGCGCCGCCAAGTATAACAGCAGAGCATCCCACAAAGACAAATACTCCTTTCCCTTCCATATCGTCGTCCTCTTTAATATATGGAGATGACGGTGGAAGCCGGGGCTCCCGTGGCGGCTGTGATTAGGCTGAATATTTGTTTCTATCCATTGGGTTTAGGACTCAATGGGGAGATCCTTGTCGGTGTAGACGACCCCTTTATCACCATCTACGACTTGCCCACTTCCTTTGAGGATCCTGCAATTGCAGCATTCAAGCATTAGTCACTTTCAACCTATGAATGTTTTCGCTAATATATTCATTCCCAAGAATACTATGTTTTTAGCAAAAAAAAAATATCAAATAGTTTTTGAACCCTCCATGTGCTAATTGCAAACATATACAAGATGACAGGATCAGTATGAAAAGTACAAATGAGTAATCAATGTCATCGTTGAAATCAGAGATTAATACCATCTTGTTAGTAGCAATCCTTCCACTCCTACTGGTGCACGAGCATGAATCCGACTCGTGCTTATCCCGACCTGTACGGCAATCAAAGATCATCAAACAACAGGAGCAATGATAGCGAGACTACGGGCTAAGTTTCATAGTAACTATTGCACACGATTTATACCTCTGCACCAAGTCCAAATCGAGCGCCATCACAAAATCTTGTGCTTGCGTTATGGAAAACAGCAGCACTGCCAATGTATATAACAAAGTCACATCTCGTTAGTAACCGCAGATATATAAGAGCAAATGACTATGCCGTGACATGCCATGTCAAATGGCTAATGAAGCTGACGATGTATAGTGTGGAATAATAGAGGTAAAAGTTTTATCACCTGTCAACTTGACGTAGAAAAACTTTGACAACTTCTTGGTCTTCTGCTACGATGCAATCAGTATGTGCACTATTTAAAGTTGGGGAAAAAATTAGAAAAAAAAAAAAACAGGTCCATATAGTCTCTAGAAGCCAACAGTTATATTTGCGGAGAAGTAGGGATTAGAGATACGTTGTTTTATCCAAAATAAAATGCAGACTTGCCTTCCATGTTTATGAATGTGATCAATGGCTGCAAATACATCATCCACAAACTCAATAGTGCAAGCCTGTGAGCTGTATTCGTGATGAAATGAACGTGCTTCTGCAATCTTCAGTTCGGAACTCGCTCTTGGTCCACCATATAACGTAACACCTGCAGGGAAAAGGAAAAAAAAAAAAAAAAAAAGTAGACCCTGTAAGTTTTTCCTTCTAAACAATGGAGCTTAGCTTTTCATAATAAAGCATAAATTTATTATCTTGCACGTGCTTGAAAACTAATTTTTTAGAAATACATAAGGAATTAGTGAGGCATCTATGTGTATTAACAAGAATTCAGCTCGCTCCAACAGCAAAATGAAAGTTTCAGAAAATTTTAAAACTCGAAGAAATGCTTTTTTTTTTCTTCTTGTACGTGTGAGTGTGCGAGGGATAAAAAATCCTTTCTCCAGACTAACTGAGACATTCCAGGATATGAAAACCAATAGGTTGATTCATAAATTTTCAACTCAATTATGAACATCAAAAGCATACCGATGGCCCGAGCAGATAGCAATATGAGATGTTGCTTGATGATAAAGCTTAAGCTATTAATAATTTCAGAAGGAATTGATATGCTAAACAGAACCACTGGAAAGAGATAAGGCATCAACGGAAGTGAGAGTAGAACAAAAACGCAATCAATAAAATCGGCCACTGAAAAAACAACAAATGTAATAGAAGCTGTACCTTCAGCTCTAAGTTCAACAATAAGCTCATTAAGACCACTCGTATGCATTAAATCCTTATGAACAAGGAGTGTTTCCTGAACATGAAAAATCATGAACCAAGAAAGATAATCATTAATATTAAAGGTTATATAAACTTTTACCGGCACAAGAAACCAGTTAGAGAATATCAACAGAAGGATATTATTCTCTAAGAATCGAACACGATAAATATTGTTACCATGGCATTGCAAGCTGCCGGATAATCCAGTTTTGCATCAGAGACAATTCGCTTTGCCACATCAATTTTAGCAGACTTATCAAGGTAGACATGGCAGATTCGATCTGACGAGAAAACAACGAAGTTTCTAACTAAAAAATCTAGAAGCACGGTCCATTCAGAAAAGAAAAGGCACTTGGCCGAGGAAGAACATGCTGCCGCATATTTTATATAAGCAGAATGATAAAGTTCAGTTTATCTCACCAGCATGGCCCAGAACAGGAATCTTTGTAGAACTTTTAATTTGAGAAACCAGCTTATTGCTGCCTCTTGGGATCACTAGATCTATCACATCATCAAGTTGGTATACATACACAAAAATGATCAGTTCCGATTTCGGTTGAGTGTCAATTATCATCTCAAAGTCCATAGACAAAGGAAGTTAATCATTCATGTTCACCTTGAGTAGATCAGGAATCTCTTCTCTTGTTGTTACAAGTCCAATTAATTTCCCTCCTACAGCTTCTGGGATGGCTTCAGTGATAACCTATAATAGTTTAAGAAAGAGAGTTAAAGGAATGATAGGAATAGCAGCCACGTCATCTTTCAAGTACATTCTATAGCAATTGACTGGATCTAAGAAAGAAACCTTGTGCAGAATGGCATTTGAACGTTTGGCCTCCTTTCCACCTTTCAGAAGAAGTCCATTTCCGCTACGGATTGCCAGTGAAGCTATCTATTCAAAGATAAAGAAAACCATGTGCTGGTGATGAGCCGAAACTCATGTTTAGAAACAAGTTACAACAGAACCCGGTATAGCTTCCATTAAATTTAGAAAAGATAAACTGCACATTCTCATATTTACCTGTACTAGTGCGTTGGGACGAGACTCAAAAACAATCAGGAGAACTCCCAAGGGACTTGATGTTTTCTCTAAGTTAAGCTCGTCAGCAAGCTGCTGCAAAAAGACAAAAAAAAAAAAAAAAAAAAAAAAAAAAAAAAAAAAAAAAAAACACACCAAACACAAAATGAGAGACTAAAGATCCAACTAAGTCACAAACTGCAGATAACTTTCATTATGTCCGTGGCATAAAGCTCGTTTGATTTGCTGAGGAATGGAATAATTATCCTATACCCCGTTTAATTGATTTACCTCGGTTCTCTTCAAAACACGGCCGATTGGATCTTCCATGTTTGCAAGGACACGGATAGAGTTTGCAAGGCTTTTAATCTGTCGTGCATAATAAACTTTATTCAGAAAGGAGAAAAAAAATGAAGTTAAGCAACAAACCACTTCTAAGAAACAAAAGCCCAGGGCCTGGTGAAAGATTATCCATAAGTAGCACAAATTTTTTGAAAACATGACAAAGGCTTTAAATGGTAGAAATCAAAATATAGTTTAGAAAAAAGAACCTAAAAATATGTAGAAGCACTCAATCATCACATCAGAACTTATTATCCATACCTTTCCAGGCTTCAGAGCCAGCCTAGCAACCAAGGACTTTTCGTATCCTGCCTGCTGTGCTGCAGCAACATCAGCTTCATTTTCAGCGCTGATCAGCTTTTCATTTGCCTCTAAAGCATCAGCAACACCACGCAAAATCTTTTTCCTGTCTTGTGAAGATAAGGCCTATGAAACAATTCGAACCGAGTAAGTTATACTGCTGAACAAAATGCGTACATGCTAAGATGTTTTGGAGGCAAAGAGTAACTCAAGCACTAGAAGAAAGGCAAAAACCGGCCTGAAGTCGTCTTGAACTCTCCCTTGCAGCAACTGCCATCTCCCGTGGATCGACTTCTTTAAGTGGGGCCAATAAATGTGCATCTTGGTGAAAGAGGGTACCAATACGCTTCCCTTCAAGGACCTTAGAAATGTTTTCAGGAGCATACCCACTATAAAAGGAAGAAAGAAAACAACTGTTACAGCAGCATATACATTGGGTTCAAATAGCAAATACTACCAACTATATACAGCTAGCTAAAAGTTTGTGGTTTCTTAAGTTAGAATTTAAGACGTGAACATTCCGTAAAGCTCGTCATAAAACTTTTGAAATGTAAGCATCATTAGCATATATAGCATAAAGCCATACCTGGTGATAACAACAGGAATTCCAGCATAAGCAGCACTCACAGCAGCCTTTACTTTCGCAGTCATACCGCCTCTTCCAACTGTAGATTTGTTTCCGAACGTAATTTCACACTAATGCTTTTCCTTAATGTATGTATGAATAAGCTTTGAATTTGGATCATGTTGGAATGAGACCAACACAATCGGAAGTATAGAACGGAATAATCAAGAGAAACAGAAAATATGAACACAATCAAGATTTACCCAGGTTCGGCCAAAAATAAATTGACCTAATCCTGCCGAGCTCCTCCACAAGAAACTCAATCCACTATAAAGAAGAAGAATTACAACTTCAATTGGTTACACAAGGAACAAACCCCAAATCTGAGATACAAAACCCAGAAACCAACCCTAGAGAAGAAACAAAG